TCAGCAGAGCTGCTGTTCCCTGGCTGGGGACACTGGTTCCTGCCTGCTGTGAGTGGGGGGTGTAGCATTTTTGGGGCAAAGTGGATACTAAAAGTGCAGATGCAGAACTCAAACTGACCTCTTGTTGTTTGGCTTTGGAAGGTGGTTTAACCTCTCTAGCTCTCTCAGCTGACTTCTTCCTCCTCCTAACAGCACAACCTTTTCACCCAGTTTTTAACATCCAAGCCAAAAATAACTCCCATAATGCCAGCATCCCCCTCATCATCTGTCCCCTTCTGTGCCAGTGCACAAAGTGATGTTTGTTTTTTCCCCTCAGGTGCTGGTGGAGATTGACCGGGTGAAGTCTCGGATGCAGCTGGCTGCTGAGTCTCTTCAGGAGGCAGACAAATGGAGCACGTTGAGTGCAGACATTGAGGAGACTCTTAAAACACAGGTAGATTCCCTGCTACTCCTTCTGGCCCCTGTGCCTGCAGCTTTCCAGGGCAGCTGTGTTTAAGGGCAGGGTTTTGGAGGGGGTGACTCTGCACCGTGTGGCTGTGACAGGGGCAGGGGCAGGGCCCTCCCCAGGGTGACAGGGCTGCCTGTCCCTGCTGCAGGACCTGGCTGTCATCTCGGCCAAGCTGACGAGCATGCAGAGCAGCCTGGCCATGCTGGTGGACACCCCAGATTACTCTGAGAAGTGTGTGCACCTGGAGGCCCTGAAGAACCGGCTGGAGGCCATGGCCAGCCCCCACATCGTGGCTGCCTTCAGCTCCCAGGCCACAGGTCAGTGCCACAGGGCAGTGCCACTGTCAGGGCAGGTGCTGTCTGGGTGGGGAGGTGGGTGCTGGAGCCTCCTGCTGCTGGGTTCTCTGCTTCTTCTGGAGCCAGGTGCTGTGAAAGGTTAGGTGCTCACAGCTGCCCATCTCTGACTCTCCTGCAGTGCACTGGTAGCCAGTGAGGGAAGAGAGGAGGACATGGGCTGGTTCTGTAGCCCGTGTAGGTGCCTGCAGTAGAGTGCTGAGGCCAGGCTGCCCTGCTGGCGTGGCTCAGCTATGCTGTGGGTGCTCCTGGGGCAGGAAGTGCTGCTCAGGTAAGCAGCAGGCCTCTGGTTTTGCAGTATCACACTGCTCCTGGGCACTTCTGTTACCACTTGGTGTTGTAATCAAGAAGGAAATTTGGAACTGTTCTGACTTCTTAGAAGCTGTTTTATAACCTCCTCTTTAGAAAACAGGACTTTTTGGGCTGTTCTTTGTGCTCTTCCTTCTCTCTCCTACTGTCCCAGCACTTCTGAGTGATACTGGTTCAGGTTGTTGCCTCTCCTCTGTGTGCAGCCTGAGGCCCCAGTGAGGATGTGGGGCTGTGGTGCCTCTGCTCCCAGTGCCCTGGAGTTGTGCACCTGAGGGTGGGACAGAGCAGTGGCTGTGGGCAGCTGGAGGGAAGGGAGGAGGGAGGAAGCTCTGTGTGCTGTGACTCTAACAGAGATGCCCAATCCTTCACAGCTGAAGGGCACTTCAGGTTTCAAAGTGTTGTAGTTTCAGGGTCCTGTTTGAAAAACAAGTCCTCATTACTCCCTTCTGGAACCCCAGATGTGGTTTGTGGACACTCCTGTGGCCACCCCTGAGCAGGACAGAAGAGACTGTTGAGGAACTAGGCTTTCAAAGCTTTGTGTGAGAGCTGAGTGGGCCAGTAGTGTCTGAGGGTGGGCAGAAGCAGGGCTCAGGACTTTGTGAGGTATGTGCCAGTTTCATGGACAGCATTTCAGTGCTGGAAAGTGATGTTTTCTTTCTAGGAAGTGCTCTGGTTCATCTCTCTTTTAATACTAGATGTGTTTGCTGGCTAGGGAGTTAAATTTAAGCAGTTAAATTCAGTCCTGGTGTCTGCTGCCTGTTCGTGTCTGAGTGTGGGTTTTAGGTGGTTCTGCTCCTGTTAGAGAGGAGCCACCAGAGGGGACAGTGTCTGTGCAGGCCACCCTGCCCTGTCCACGCAGAGGGTTCTCTTGCTCTGCTGTCACATTGACTGTTTGCTGCCTCCTGTTTTGTTTAGATCAGGCAAAAACGTTTGTTAAAGTCTTCACCGAGATCGATCGGATGCCCCAGCTTCTTGCTTACTACTACAAGTGTCACAAGGTAAGGATCTTAGTATTTTAATCAGGAGGAATACAGCTTTGAGTCCTTGCTTGGCCTGGGCTGCAGAGGGAGCTGCTGCATCACCTGCTTCACCTTTCCTCTTCGAGGGGGGTGGAAAATGCTCCTTTCCACCTTTCATTCTCTGACTTCTCTCTGTGGCTCATGGCCAGTTTGGTCACTCCCCATGTCTGGGGAGCAGTTCCCTGCTCAGGGCTGTGTCCCCTCCTGCAGTGGATACAAGATACTTGTGTTCTGCTTGATTTCTCTGGGCCTTAGAGTTTTGCTTTGCTTTCCTTGGATGTGGTGGTCAGTAATGACTTTACTGCTGCAGCTTGCCAGCTGCTGACTTCTGTAAACCCTTTTCAGGTAAGATTAAAAGTTGGAATTCCAGACAGTTGTGTAGCCATAACCCAGTCCTCAGATTTCTCTCATGACTGTGACTTTTGAGGATTAAGTTCAAGGCTGGGGCTTGCCAAGTATTTCAACTATTGTGTGGAGGTATCAGTTACAGTCTCATTTTGTGAGTAAAATACCAATGTTAATTAAATCTGTGAATCAACTGAGAAGGCTCCAGCTTCATGCTGAAAGTCTTCTCCTTCCATGGGGCTGACTTCCAGCAAAGCGTTACGCTGAAATCTGGAGAGAGGGCCCAGGGTGGCCGGTGTGTTTTGGCAGAAGTGCTTTGCTTGGGAAGTTGTTGGTCTGGGATAACAGAAGGTGGGTTTGTGGCCTTTCAGCTCTCCTCTTAGGATGGTTATTTTTACCCCTGCAGGTGCAACTGGTGGCAGCATGGCAGGAGCTGTGCCAGAGCGACTTGAGCTTAAACCGTCAGCTGAGGGAGCTGTATGACACCCTCCTGGGGACCTGGCACTCCCAGCTCCAGTGGGCAGCACAGGTAGGGGCCGTGCAGGGGGCAGGGGGTGGGAGGGAACGAGACTGAGCCACCCTCAGAGCTCAGAGCAGTTTGTCAGTGCCCACTCCTCGTGCCTGAGCGATGCACGACAGGCTCCCGGCCTGCCCTCTGCTCCTCATCCAGCTCCTGCAGACAAGGTTTGATCCCTGGTGTTCTACCAGCAGCAAGGTTGCTGTGTTATTGACATTAAAACTGCTCTATCACTTTCATCTCTATCTTAAGTTGAATCTAATTTGCTGGTGTTGCAAATGTGTTCTGTTGCAAGACATTTGAAGTGCCTGATTTGCTTTATCACTTGGCCTGGAGGAAGCCCTCAAGGTCATACTGGACTGGTTCCTGTCTCTCTGTGTAAGACACCTGAGAGCTTCTGCTATCACCCCTTGGAGTTTGTGTACTTGTTTTTCCTGCCAAGAGTAATTTAGGATCCAAAAAAAGTTACTGTCCTTTAGAGAAATGAAGGAATAAGTTCATATCATCGAGCCTGTGTGAATTCTTCATCCATGAAGGGTAAGAGATTATTATCTTCATGTTACAAAGCCTGGTGCAAGCTCTAGGCTTGTGCTGCAAAGGAGCTCAGTGCTTCCTTGAAATGTAATTTTTCTGCCTAATGATTCGATGTGAATTACAGGTCAGATGTCAGTTTACACTTTAGCAGATGTTCTTTGAACTGGGGATTGTGGGAGAGAAATAGCACATGGGGAGAAGCTCGTGTCACTCAGTCTGTGGTGCTGCTTCTGCTTTCTGAAGAATTCTTGGGCCTTTTTTGTGATGATTGTGGCTTGCAAAGCACATGAGCAAGAACAGCTGACAGAAGAGTCCCAGTCAAAGGCTGTCCCACGTTTGATGCTGGTGGAGCTGAGCACAGTGCATCTAAATGAAAGTTCTCTGCTGATGAGTCTTTCTGGCCTTCCAGTACTGACAGCCCATCTGGCTGGTAATTTGCCTCATGATGTGGTTGTGTTTCTTCATATTTCACCAATATATCCATTTTTCCCCAACACCCCTCTGTAACCTGAGTGCTTTGTTTTCAAATGCCCTTTTCTGCCATGTGGTTTTCCAAGCTGCTGGGGTGCCTGTGTGCTGCTGAATTCAGCTTCTGACCTATACCTATCTTCTGGTTTCTTGGTTGCTGTATTCAGAGCATAGTTTCAACAGTAAGTGTGTATCACCCCAGGCTTTTGTAACTGGGCTGTCCAGCCTGCTCAGGGAGGTTCTCACACTCTTGGCAGACCTCTTCTGGTTTTTTATTTTTGCCCCTCATGAGGTCTGTCAAATTCAGTTTTGTTCTGTTTTAAGAGCTCATGTCACGTGGGGCTGTGATCTGTTAGTGCACAAACTGTCACCTTCCTGATCTGTGTGTGGCTGTCTCACCAGCAGGTAACTTTGCATTAGTTCTTTAGTAGAAAGAAGCTCCCACCCAGCACAGTGTGGAAAAAATTGTGGTGAGGCTGCTGCTGCTTCTCCCAGCTCTTTACTCCCTGGTTAGGGCAGCCTGTTCTGCCCCTTCTGTCCCCCTCTGAGGAGCCCAGGTCTCTGTGGCCCTGCTGTGAGGGAGACTGCAGTGGGTACAGTTGCCCCAGGAAGAGGTGCAGTGTGTGAAGGCTGCTTCTGCCAGCAAGGCAGCAGCTCGTGTTCAGGGGGCTGAGGGAGGCCTCAGGAGCTGCCCTGCCTGGAGTGGGACAGTCTGTCAGTGCCCTTGCTGAGGCAGGTCCCGTGGTCTGTGTGTGGTGGGGCTCCCTGGGAGCTGTCTGCTGCTCTCTGCTGCCTGCCCTGCTCCCCTGAGCTAACGTGCTTTTGCTAGTAGCCTTCCTGCTCCCACAGGTTTTCAAGAACCCCCATGAGATAGTGACTGTGTTGCTGATCCAGACCCTGGGGGCGTTGGTGCCTTCCATCCCTGTCTGCCTCAGCACAGCCCTGGAGAGGACGGGCCAGGACACCAAGCTGAGCAAGCTGCTGGAGCTCTACGATGCCACCACCCACTTTGCAAAAGGGCTGGAAGTGGCCATGCTGCCAAACCTGAGTAAGGCTCTTGCCCTGAACGTTGTCATTCTGTTCTGTCAGCTCCTTTGTAAAGTTTCATTGTGGGATTTTGTTTAGTTTTAGGTGGAGGGAGGGATTATCTCTGCTGCAGTATTGACCAGTACCGTGGCATTGGCACCTCTGTGTCTGTATCTCCAGCTCTATCTGATACTGAAGATATTGACACAGCACTGGATGAGTTTCCTGCTGCAGACCTGTTCTGAGCAGGCTTGCTCTCCAGGGTAAATAGTGCTAACCACTTTTCCCTTTACAAGCACTACTGTTTCTTCTGTCTAACGGATGAGGAAATGTCTCTGGGGAAGCTGCCTCTGAAACCCATTGTGAAAGATCACAAAGCACAAAAGTTGAGGAGTTTCCTGGAATTAAGTCACACCTTACTAAACAAGAGCAAACCTGCTTGAGAGCTGCATCCATTGGATGCTTACGTTTGATTTTGTAGCTTTTCTAGCTGATGTTTTAATCAGGTGAAAAGGGGAGGCCAGGTTTTCTTTCTGATCCATGGGTGGTTTATTCCCTAGCAGCATTCTCCGTGTTGATGCAGAAATCTGCCTGTGCCTTCCTTACCCTCTGATGTTTGTCATCTCAGTTTGGTCATGGCTTTATGAATAATTCCCACAAACCACAAAGTAGGGAGGTGCTGTGTTTACACAGGTTTATGCCTGACCTGAACTGTTGGCTATTTATAGTCCTTTATTAATCTGGTAGGGCCCCTTCAAAGACCAGGTATGGGAAAAACCTAAATTAAAGCTAATGGAGCATTCTTAGTGCTGGCTTTCCTGTGTTTGGTTCCTCATAATATTCTCCTGAGCTGTTTAAACCTAGATTCTTACTTGATTGTGCAAATTATGATTTCAGGCCGTTGTGTCTGGTTTTGTTGCCTTTGTAGCAGTGACTCTTGCCATTTTCTGTCCTGGGCTTAGCTTGGGTTGTGGTTCATAATAGAAATTATTAAAAAGGACTTGGAAAAACAGTGTCAAATTGTAGAAGGTGATGGAATAGGAAGACAGCTGCAGAACTGTTATCTGAGTATGTTTAAAAAATAAAACAAACCCAAACCCCTTATTTCCATCTCTTCAGCTGTGGGGTGAGATGTTTGGGAAGAGAACTATCCCAAGAATGGAAAGGCTGCAGGTGACTCAGGAGAAGAGAGTCAAACCAGTTCCTGTGTGTGTGTGTGTGAGGGGAGGGTTCAGTTATGATTCACAGGATAATTTGGGTTGGAAGGGACCTCAGGAGATGGTCTAGTCCAACATCCTGCTCCAAGAAAGGTCTGTTACAAGGTCAGGCCATGTTACTCAGGGTGTTGTCCAGTCTGATCTTGACAGCACCCAGGCACAGAGCAGTGGAGCAGGGTTTGGACAACCTGCTCCATGGCTGTCTGTCCTTACATGAATGTGTTTCCTTCTGTCTGGGATTCAGAGTGACCATGGTCTGCTGCTAGACTGAGTTTGGCAAAGCTTCACAATAACAGCTGGTGTCCAGCTCTGTTCTGGGAGGTGACAGTTCAGACCTGGTGTGTTTGGCTTTGCAGCTCCCTGCTCCACACTGACCCTGAGCTGTTCAGTCCGTGGCTGACCTGCAGCACTGGCTGGTGAACACTGAAGCAGTGGTGAAAAGTGAGCTGAGATTGTGTCAGTTATTTTGAGTATGAATTGGGCTCTCTGCTAAATGAGGGCTGCCCCTGTGGGAAGCTGTGGCAGTGATGTGTTTCACTTCTCAGGTTATTTCAGTACTTTCCCTCTGCAGTAGGTTGGAGTGTTCAATAGATTTTTGTCACCCAGGCTGTTTTGGAGAAGGAAGTGATAATTTTCTTGAGGCACTTGTTGAGGTAGAACATCTTGGTTTTAGGAAGCAGGTAGAGATAATAACCTTTGTTTTGAAAAAATGAGAAGAAAAATTAAAAAACTCTGTGTAGTTAAGACTTAAAGCTGTTGGGTGACATTCCAATCCTGTGTGGGCAGCATGCTCTAATTGAACAACTACTGCATGTTGCTTAGAACAGTTTTCAGTAACATGTTCATCTATTCGTGGACTAAACATCTGATTCCTTGTAGGGGAGCAGAACCTGGTAAAGGTGATGGAGCTGGTGGAAGCAGTGTATGGTCCATACAAGCCCTATCAACTGGAGTATGGAGACCTGGAAGAGGAAAATCTCCTCATTCAGATCAGTGCAGTGCCCTTGGTAATGTCACAGTCTTTGTTCAGCAACACAGAGGCCTGAAGCTTCTGCTAAATACAAGGCTCTTTGTCATAGTTATTGCTTTCTTTTCTTCTCTGATTTTCTGGTAATATTTCCTGCTTGCAGCATCTTTTTTACTGTTAAGTAAATTTTCTATAAGAAATAAAGTTAATTTCAGCAGCCTAGTCAGGTTGGAAGTACCTTTCTTCTTCTTCTTCACCCAGCAGCTGGCACTGCGTGGATCTGCTGGAGAAAGCCTTTACCAAAACATTACTGTCATAGAATTATAGAATCCTTTAGGTTGGAAGGGACCTCCAAGGTCATCAAGTCCAACCATTGAGTCAACCAAGAGCCTGCTTCAGGTTCAGTAGAATTTGTTAAGAACATCCAGGGGAGGACAGTCCATTTTGTAGAAGATTCTGTTGCTGGCAGAACTGTTTTCCCTGGCAGACCTGGTAAACACAGGATTTGGCAGTCTGGTTTCTGTTAGTTACTGTGCAGGAGGGTGGAAGCAGCCAGTGTGGTTCTGCTGTCAGTGCTTCCCAGGGTTAGAGGGTGCTGAGAACAATGCCTCACACAAGGTGTCTTTTCTTTAATGCTGGGCACACTGGAAGAGGAGTCAGGCTCAACTTTGTTGCTGTTTTTATTTAGGAGCATGGGGAAGTGATTGACTGTGTCCAGGAGCTGAACCATTCAGTCAGCAAACTCTTCAGCCTGGCTTCTGGAGCCATCGACGACTGCGTGAAGCTCACGGATGGGCTGGGAGCCTGTGGGCTCCTCAGGGCCCTGAGAGCTCTGTTCAACAAGTAAGGTGCTTCTGGTCACACTGCTGCTTCCTCCTGAGGGGGTCACAAGTACTCAGTTTGTGGCCAAGGACTTTGTAGTTCATGAAGAACAACTGAGAGCAGAAAGTGTGTACATATATAGCTGTAATATGGATCAGCTGCTATCCCTTCTGCCACTTCACTCAGGCAATGACTGTTTCCTGGGGAAAAATGGAAGCTTTTCATGGCTAAATAGACTTTTCTCATCTATTTTCTATTCTGGTTAAGTTGAAAGTTTTCATTTTTAATACATACTTTTGAAGGGGTAAATGTTTCCCACAACAGAGTAAGACACAGACAGATTCAGCTGATGACAGTAGTGGGGAAACACAGAGTGGGACAGGTTCCTGGTCAGAACCTGCCTGTAAGTGTGGGGCACTCCAGTGAGTGGGGTTCACTGTAAGTTCCTGCCTTGCAGTGTCAGTGCCAGCCCACACAGGTACTGTTCCAGTGCTCACTGCCTCCCAGTGCTTCCTGATATCGAAAGAGCTGCTCTCAAGGTATAAATCAAACTGTTACCTGGCTGCCCCGTGGTGAAAGGGGCAGAGGGAAGCACACTCCTCTGAGGTCACTTGTTTTATAGGCAATTACGTAGCAGTGTGCATGCCTCCAGCTTCTGGGCATTAGTTAAAAAAAAGGGGGAGGTGTGGAAAACAAAATGTTCTCCTTTTTATCCATGTTCTCATCTGGGGAGTAGCTGAGAAAACAAATTCATGAGATTATTGTCACTGTGTTCCTGGAGTAAGGGCCAAGTGATGTTGGAGTAGCAGTGACCTTAAACTTTTTCTGGTCTTTCCTAGGAGATGTGATTAGTGCAGTGGTAACAAAAATGTCTTACTCATATTTTCTCATGGGAGTGGAGAGTTCTAATAATTTATATACAGCAAATTGAAGTGGCCACATGGTGTCTGTTACTCTGAGTGTCTTCATTGTCTTGTAGTAAGGCTCGAAGGGCTGTGGCTGGTGAGTTCTTCACATCCAGGTGTTTGGCCTGGAACAGCAGTGTCTCTTCTGGACTCCTTTTAGTATTTCTCATTTATTATCACAGGATGGGCAGTTACTCAGCTCTCCAACCTATTCTCTTATGCTGGTGCTTATCTCTAATCCACTCCTCATTTCAGGTATACCTCTGACTTCACAAACACCTTGCAGTCAATACGAAAGAAATGCAGGCTGGATGATGTGCTGCCAGATGCCCTTTTCCAGGAGGACTGGACTGCCTTCCAGAACTCTGTGAGGTAAAGGCTTTGGCTGAGGCTTTTTTCCCCCAGCTCAGAACTGGTTTTTGTATCAAAGCTGAGAGGGAATTACTTGGGGTTGGTTTGCACCAGTTCTTGGTGCAGAGGGCAGGGCTGTGTCACCTCGCTGCGGGGAGTGCTGGTGGCAGTGGCTGCTCTCAGGTTGCTGCTGGCACAGTGAGTGCTGTGAAGCTCCCAGCCTGTCTGGAGCAAGGCTGCATGTCATATCACCTGCAGCAGCAGCAGGTCTTAGCATTTTTCCCAGTGATACTGAGCTGGCCTTATCCACGATGACAAGAAGTAGATCATGGATGAGGCTGTTGGACCAAAAAATTGTGTATGTTATCAAGTGGATGCAGAGTTAATGGCCAGATGAACTCTTGACACGTCCCCTGTGGGCTGTGGCTTGGTTATGGCACTTTAGAATGGCTCAACACGTGTCTGAGAGGGGTTCTCTGGGGGGGGATCTGGCATTATCTGCCTCAAACCTCACAACATGTGTTTTTGTTTTGTTCTTTCCCAGGATAATTGCTACTTGTGGTGAGCTCCTTCGTCAGTGTGGAGACTTGGAGCAGCAGCTGGCCAACAGGTAAGCACTGCTGAACTTAATTCATGGGCTGTCAGCACTGGCAGCCTGCTGAAAGAAAACAAACCCCAAGGTGCTTTCCTTGTGTAGACCGTGGAGGGAAAGCAGAGCCACTGTGGTTTCTGCCCCTGCTGCCCCTCCCCATCTTTTGCAATGTCAGAGGTGGATCACAGGCTGTCCCACTCTGTCGTGTGCCCTGGGACAGTCTCAGGAATCCTTTTTCTTGGACACCCTTCTGGCCATCAAACAGACTGCCAGGCTGGGGTCAGGAAGGAATTTTCCACCAGATCAAATTGGGAAAATTCTCACCCTGCTTGTGACACGGGGCATGAATCATTTGCTGAAATGGATCTAGGTGTACCTTAACTGATCAATTCCTTGTAATTTGAGGAGTGCCAGGCACAGGCAGCACGTAGGTCTGTTGCTGTGTGCCAGCAGTGCCCTGTCCAGCCTCTCCTACCTTGAAACGCTTTGGCTGGACTCGAGTGCCTGGCTTTGAGGCCACAGGGGCCTCAGGCTGCAGGAGCTGTGTTCCTCCCGTGTTTGGTAGGTGTTCCAAGAGCACTGTCCTCTTTTTTTTTTTTTTTTCTTAATAGTTTTGCAGTTTTTGAGTTGCACAGCAGACATGAGAGTTGGCTGTAGTCAGTGTCTGCCACCAAGCAACACACTGTCCCTCCAGGTTACAGGAAGTGACACTTGTGTCCTTGGTTTCAGGATTTTATCAACTGCTGGGAAGTATCTCTCAGACTCCTACAGTCCTTGTAGTTTTCCTGGCTTTCAGGATACCAGTTCTACAGAAAAGAAGAGCTCTGTGAAGAATCCCTGGCAGGAGTACAATTATCTTTTGAAGGAGAATCCCTCTGAGTATGGCAGCCTCATGGAAACGCTTTACACTCTGAAGGTAGCTCTGGAGCCTGGGGGAGCCTCCCTCTGTCACACGGTGCTGTGGGGCCCCTGCTTCATAGAAGAGACCTGGACCTCCCCTGCAGCCTGATGCTGTTTTATCCAGAGCTGCAGCCTTTTGATGGGCTGTGTCCCAGGTCTTCCACAGAGACACCAGCTGATCTGCTGAGAGATAGAATGCCCAAACCCAGGAAGTGTGGGCTCATTCCATCTCTCCCCAGATCCTGGCTGTGTTTTGTGAATGTGCCCTGATCAGTTCAGGTGAGGGAGATTTTGTCACAGGACACAGTGGGAAGGTTGTGTTGGAGCCATTTCAAATTCTGCAACCCACATACTGGCTTATCAAGACTTTCTTTGCCACTTATGCTCTGTGCCATATCCATTCCAAAGTATAATTCTGCAGGACCATCCATGCATGCATCTGTAACAGGGTAGAATGACTCCAGTTATCTCCTTGTGGATCTAAGTTATGTTTGCTGTCGTTGGTCACGTGTAGTAGTGAAGTCAAGTTTATGAGTTCTATCTCTCATTTCCTCAGAACATTTTCATTTCATTCGACTTAATTTATCTGCAACTTGTGCAGCTTTGCTTTCAGTGTTCAATGCTTGACTTGACACCTTTGCCAAATAGCCCAGCTCCATGGGTAACCTTCATGCAATTCCATGCAGGGCATCAGCTGCTCGTGCCCTTTGAGGAGAAGGAAGTTTTGCATCTTCTCTGCAGGTTTTTCAGTACCTAGCCTGTGTGGGTGCCTGGCATGATGGGCATGTGATGCTGAGTCTGTGTCCCACATTTCAGGGAGCAGCATCCAGTTTCTGTCTTGAATAGCTGGTTGGAATAGGGCATTCCAAAGGGAACGAGCTGTGCCATGGCAGAGCAAAGCTCTTCTGTACTAGATGGCCTAATAAAGGCCTCCTCAGGGATGTTCACATAACCTCTCTGTGATCAGTCTGGTGAGTCCTGTAGGTGACCGTTGTCCTGTGCCTGTGTGTCAGGAGAAGGGTACAAGCAGCCAGAGCCTGCTGCCCTCAGCACGGGCTGCCCTCGGCCGCCTCAACCAGCTGGCACACCTCCTGGCCTTCGACTCCCTCTTCCTGCCCATCAGGCAGCAGCTCCTGCTCGTCCCCAAGATGGAGGTGAGTGGTGAGTGGCGGGTGCCCCGGGCAGCCCTGGGGGTGGGGCACAGCTCAGCCTTGCTCACCTTGCCCTGTGCAGCACCTTCCCTCCCGTGTCGCCCTTGGCCCGCCGGCTGCAGCCCCTGCAGGAGTTTCCCTTCCCTCGGGCACGGGGGGCAGCTGTGTTTGCAGGCTCTGGTCTTTGTTTGAGGTGCTGCTTGTCTGACCTGCAGGAGTGTGAGTTTCCCACAGGGAGCTGTGTGGCTGGGTGTGTGTTCGGGGCCTGAGGGAGGACAAGGGGAGCAGTTTCCTCACCATCTTTGTTCTGCTTTGTAGAAGTCCTTGGGTTGTTACAGCTCATGTCCCTGGGCGACCCTTTCCTTGAGTACTGGTGGGCCTCATGCTTCAGGAGGTCATGGATTCATTCTGCACATTTTACCTTGCAGGGTTGGAGTTCTGGTGGCACCGGTGAGACCCTGACAGATGACCTGCCAAACTTCAGCCTGACTCCTCTGGAATATATCAGCAATGTAAGAGCATGCGAGTTACTGGGAGCCCAGTGCTGGGGGAATCCCATCTGTGTTTCTCCACTTTCTGTGAAATTGTAGTGTTTGTTAGGATATGTATGATGGTGGTTGGTGGTCTCAGTGGCCAGCCCTCATCAGCTGAGTTCTGTCATTCGTTGTAGCGTTTATGAAATCCCTGTCAAGTTGTGGAACAGGAAAACAACGTCAGGAGTGCAAGGAGCAGCTCTTCCCTGGTGAGCTGTGCTGGTTATGGTGGTAGCTCCTGTCACGGGCTGGGGACACCAGCTTCCCTTTGTAGGGGAGGGTACTGAGTGTGTCCTCACAACGCAGCTCACGCAGCAGAGGAGTCCCTGCAAGGTGTATTGGAGTGAGGGAATCGTGCTATGAAGTTAGTCCTGAGCTCCTACCCTTCTCATCCCTGTGTGACTCCTGGTTTCTTTCTGATGGGGCAACAAAGAATCTTTCCTGGCAGGGGGTGTGGGAGTGGCAGAGGGGCCTGAGGGTGCTGTGGGGCAGCGTTCACACCGCTCCCCGTTCTCCTGCTTGTTGTTCCAAGCTGCTGCCAAATCTGCAGTTCAGATATTATTAATATTAGCTGCTATTATTATCTCAATACAAAGTATAATCTGATAAATAAGTTTTTTATGTTACTGTCAATCTGCAATGACACAGGGAATGGATTTTTCAAAGACAAGCTGCAACCAAAAGTTTCTCATATTTTGGTTTCCTCTGGCTTGTGGCCTACAAACTGTTTGTATCATGGGTAGCTTCTCAGGTAGCTACCTGAGACTTGTGTGAGGTTTAGAAGGCTTATGGGCAGTGCCTCAGGTGACATTTCAAGGGAAGGTTGGTGCTGAATTCTAAGTAGCTTTCTGATTAACACATCTCACCAAGAGACGTGCATGGCTGGTTAGAGGCTGAAGCTGCACCTGCCACTTTAACTGAGCTGAGATGTGTATGGTTGTTACTTAACTCTCTGAGGAATCAAACTGTGTTTCTGCCTGTCCAAGGCAAAGAGGAACTTCAGAAAATTTCAGATGCAAAGCATTGGTTTTCTGACATCTTTTCAGACCTACTGTTTGTCCTGCTGCTGAGTGATTGGTGGGCCAAGACTGAGCCAAGGCTTTCTCTTGGGTAGAATTTAGAAACAAATTGATGTGGCATTTGTGCTGTGTAGAAGAAAAGGCAGGTGATGGGAGCTCAGGAAAAAGCTGTTGATGACTGTGCTTCGTAGTGGGGAGGCAGAGTGCTCTGAACTGCACCTGCACCTGGGAAGAGTCTCTGCAGCAGCAGATAATCCTTAATAACAGCACATTATTTGTTGTGTGCCTCAAGTTAAGTAGCTCATGTGTGCAAATTTGTGGGCAGGGTCCTTTTTGGGAGTGATGCATTATCTTTAATTCACCATTACATTGTCACTTGAATATGTGTTTCTTCTTCAGTGGTTTTGTTTAGTTCAGACTCTTAGATTCTGCTCTAGAAAACAAATTGCCAGGAACTCTCCAGAGATCAGAGATTTGCCTGGAGTAACAGCTCTCTGTGCAGTTTTTTCTTAATGTGATTGTTTCAGTGACTGGTTCTCTGACCTTGTGAAAAATGATTTCTTCTACAGAGTGTAATGATGAGCAAGAGCCAATTTGTTTCTGAGCAAGTGTAGGTTGGTGAGTGGCTGTCAAGCTCAGCTCTCTGCTCTCAGGTGTGGATTACTGCAGGTGACTTTTTTCTATAGCAAAGTCCTCGCTTCACATTTGTTCAGTGACTCAACTCTTTGTGCTTTGTTTTAGATTGGGCAATATATTATGTCGCTTCCTCTCCACCTTGAGCCATTTGTCACTCAAGAGGATTCTGCTTTGGAGCTGGCATTACATGCTGGGAAACTGCCTTACCCCCCAGAACAAGGTAGGGTGAAACCAAAGACTTGGAGCGTCAGGGGGAAGCTTTCCCATGTGGGCACTCCGTGGGTGTGATGGGTTATGGTAACAGTGGTATTTGAGATCCATTTCCTACCATCCAGTCGTGCTGTTTCTTCCAAAAGCCTCCTGGTAATGTGTGGGAGGAGCTTCTAAATAATGAGTAAAACCTGTTCAGTTGTGTTCAAACCCAAAACTTTAGCTTGGTCCATTTAGGATTGGTGTCCATTGAAACTGTGGTTTGGTGCAGGGTCTGAAGTGTGAGTGTTTCTGAGCTGCAGCAGTATTTAGTATCCTGGGTGCAGGGACTGGGGTCAGTTCCCAGAATCTGCAGGGAACCACTGGGCTGTCTAGCCTGAAAGCCTTCCCAGGTTGGTGTCCCAGGTTGGCTTCCACAGGGCTGCTGCTCCTCACTGCCTGTGCACTGGAGTGCAGCTCCCCAGTGGCCTGGGCTGTCTGAGAGCTTGCTGCAGAGGGGTCCTGCTCCAGCCTTGTCCTCCTGCCCTCTCCTTGTGCTGCTTCCACAATAGAGTCCTTTCCACTCATTAGAATCATAGAATAGAATCACACAGAAGCAAGCACCTTTCTGTGGGGTTAATTCCTTTTTCATCCAGCTGGAAAACCATTAGAGCTTCACTGCTACTTCCAGTGCCAGCCCAGTCTTTGGTGATTAGCTGCCAGCCATGGTGATTAACCCCCGTGCTGAGGGAGCTGCAGTGGGTGCTGCAGGTGGCTGCTGAGACAGCTACGGCCCAGCTGCCTCTTCAGAACCCCTCTAGAACACACTGAGGAGTTCTTTTTGTGTGTCATAGAATCCTTTAGGTTGGAAGAGACCTTTAAGATCATCAAGTCCAACCATTAAGCCAACACTACTAAGTCCTCTGCTAAAACAGATCAGAATCTGTCAGGGCTGGAAGGCACCACAAGGATCCCCCAGTTCCAACCCCTCTGCCATGAGCAGGGACACCTCCCACTAGATCAGGCTGCCCAGAGCCTCATCCAGCCTGGCCTTAAAGACCCCCAGGGGTGGAACCTTATCCTTGATGTCACTCCTTGATTTCTTGCAGCAAGCTGAGTTTTGGCTCTTGCTTGTCCTTCAGGTGGCTGTGCTTACCTGTTGGGTCATGAGTCCTGCTGCATTTAACTTCAGGAGGTACCTAATGCTTCCCGGCAGGTTGGCAGCACGCTGTGGTTTGGGTGCTTTATCTCTTCTTGGTGTTTGTTTCCACTGACAATCAGGGAAGTGTAGAGCTTGGTATTTATACCAAGAACTTGGTATTTATTTCCTGTAGCCTTCTGAGAATACACTCTTCAGTTTATGTTTTGCATTACTTGTCATCTTAAAACACACGTTTAATAGCGCATTGATTTTCAAAACACTGATGAGCACAGAATGCCTTTAGGGCTGGAAAAAACCCTGTGAACCCTTGTCACTGCAGTGGTGGTAAACTGCTGGAAGGTGATTGTGTAGAAAATGCTGGGCAGTGCCCCTGGTCCCAGCCCAGTGAAGTGCTTTCTGTCTGGAGCTGATGTTCAGTGTTGGACAGTGTCAGGATGTGTGTGGGGAGCAGCTGAGGGAACTGGGGTTGTTTAGTGTGAAGAAGAGGAGGCTGAGGGGAGATCTTACTGCTTGTGACAACTCCCTGAAAGGAGGCTGGAGTGAGGTGGGTCTTAGTCTCTTCTCCCAAGTGACTTGTGATAGGATGAGAGAAAATGGGCTTAAGTTGCACTGGGGGGATTACTTTGGGTATTAGGAAGAACTTCTCTCCTGACAGAGTGCTGAGGCATTGGATCAGGCTGCCCAGGGAGGTGCTGGAGTCACCATCCCTGGAGGGCTTTAAAAACATGTGGATGTGGCACTGTGGGGCATGGTTTAGTGGTCGTGGTAGTGTTGGGTTGATGGTTGGACGTGATGATCTTAGAGGTCTTTTCCAACCTTACTGATTCTGTGATTCTATAGCTGCTCTGACTACTCCAAAACGAGCTGAGAAACCCGAGTACCTTCACGTCCTGCTGCAGGAGCAGCTGCCCCCCCGTTAGGAGTTCATTCTGTGAGCAAGGCAGCTGGGGCAGGTTTGTGGTGCTGCTGCCAGCTGACCAGAGCTTTCTGTCCAGGGGACGAGCTGCCGGAGCTGGACAACATGGCTGACTGCTGGCTGGGCTCGGTGGCCAGGGCCACCATGCAGACGTACTGCGAGGCCATCCTGCAGATCCACGAGCTCTCGGCCCACGCCACGAAGCAGCTGAGCACAGACATTGGTGAGCTGGGCACAGGCACTGCCCTGGCTGCTCTGCCCTTCCCCTACACCCAGGAGCTGCAGCCTGGGCTCCCCTCTCCCCGTGAGCACCCGGCGTGCTGGGGAGCTTCACAGCTTCCCTTCTGCAAAGTGCCACAGCCCTCCTCGGGGCAGGGGTGGTGTGCTGGTAGGTCCTCCTGCTTCCTCAGCACCTTGTGTCTCTGGGTGTGAAAGTCAAAGTCCTTCTGAGTTGAGAGGATTCCCTGTCAGGCTTAGCAAGAAAGCTCTGGGTATAATCTGTAT